GTATCAATTGGGGAATGGCTGAACAAGTTGTGGTGGAATACTATTGTTATATAAGAAATGACAAACAGCATGATTTCAGAAAAACCTGGGAAGACTTATATGAACTGATGCAAAGTGAAGTGAGCAGAACTAGAACATTGTACACAGTAACAGTGCTATTGTAATAATGATCAACTGTGAAAAACCTAGCTACTCTGATCAATGTAATGATCCAAGACAATTCCAAAGGACCTGTGATGAAAAAAATACTATCCACCTCCAGAGAGAGAACTAATGTAGTCTGAGTGCAGATTGAAGTTTATTTTTTCACTTTATTTTTTTGTTATTTTTTTACAATATGGCTAATATGGAAATATGTTTTACATGATTTTGCATGTATAATTGATATTATATTGTTTAGCTTCTCAATGATCTGGAGGGAGGGAGAGAATTTGAAACTCAAATTTTTTTAAAAGGAAATGTTAAAAATAATTAATAAATGCATCTTTAAAAAAGAAATTATATTTTTTTAAGGCATCAATGGAACATTCATTTTTTAAAAGGGTCAGGACAAACCCACCTACCAGTAGTTTTCATAAATTAGTTTTCTTTTATTAAAATAAATTTTTTCAGTGAACAAAAATTTATTTTCTCTCCCTCCCACCTTCCTACTCCCATAGTGGAAAACAAAAAAAAAGCAAAACCAGAAAACAAATCTCTTGTAACAAATATGCATCACAAAGGAAAAAAAATTCTCCATTGGCCATATTCAAAAGATATAATACATTTGTTTTCTTTTGTAGAAGTATCATTCAAATCTTTTCACTTCTGTGATCTCATTAGTGGTACCTTGAGATTAAAGGCCACCTTAATGAACAGGTCCATGAACAGGTTTCAGTTGAATAATGGCTGGTTCAATTCACCTGGTCTTAGGGTGTTGCTCCCAGCATCTGCTCTACCTAAAGAGCTCTTGGCTTGGACTAGCCATTCATGGCAGTGCAGATCTTAGCAAAAAGGTGTTTGGCATGGAGGATGTGGGCAGTGAGGGTGGATTTACATGACTTTGTGCTATGTGTGTAGAGCCCTAAGTCTGATTCACTGAGTCGGTGTGGAATGCAGCGTTCGTCAAGCTGCGATTTTTGTTACTCAGAAAGTGTTCACGAAGCCAAAATTTGCAGCACAACGTACATGAGGATTCAAAAACAGCTGACGTCTTTCATCACGTAGTCTTAGACTTACTATTTAGATATTTTATGTTCCTGTTTTGTATATGTTTGGGCAGAACATGAATAGATGTGACATGACTACATTTCCCCTTTTCTGTTTATAATTTCACAAATCAGATATCCATTTTATGTAACAAACATCCTTCCATATCAAAATATGACCTTTATACAAACTTAGTTGATGTAAATAATGAAGTTGTCCATTTTTGCTGTAGCATGTGCGTTAACAACACGCTTCCCGTGATGGATAGCCTCACACATCTCGGCCATCAGGATCATCTGTTTACTTTGGAACCAAAATGTACCCAAACAAACAGGGAGCCATGAGTATGAAACAGTCCTTCCTCTGGTACCAAAGACTTGTTGGTGTGAGATTGTTGAGACTTAGAGGTCTGAAACCACAGATGTTTATTTGCTTAGTCTCCTGTGTCTCTATAATGGCCTTGTTTTAAATGGTGACTAAGCATTGTGTCTACGCTATCCTTTCAACACTGTGAAATATAGTTGTGCAATATGTTCCCAACCCTCCGGTGATCTGCATTGGATTAGGGGAGGAGCACATTGGGCAGAAGACATTTTATAAAAATAAAGGTAGCTAGCAGTATAAATGGAAAGAAAAAAATTAAGCTGAACATTATATAATCATAATGACCACATGGCCCTGGAGAAGAGATAATAAAATCCATTTTCTTCACCTCTTAGGGGTGTGAAATCTTGCCTGCACTTAAACTGCTGATTTCTCTGAGCTACTTTTTGGTCTTTTTTTTCTCTTTTTTGAAAATATTTCTTATAAGGGATGGTTCTTTGGGAATGAAGAGGGATGTATTTGGAAATAAAAATGATATAAAGACCAAAAAATATCCAAGTTTGGCCATGAAGAAAAGAGGAGAAAATGTACCCTTGTCCCTTATTTGCCAAGACGAAGGGCTATGGGTTTGGGACATTGCAGATCCCATGAGATTTACTTCATGTATTGGGTTAGTTTTGATGAACTACTTTTTTCCTTGTTCTTTTTTATTCTTTATTGTAAGTTATGGGATTTGGGGTTGAACATATTGGAGAATGAAGGTAAAGTAAAAGAAAAGATATCGATAATTTTAAAGGTATTGATAAAAATACGATTCTCTTAAAAAAATTAAAAAGGGTAGTCATTGTGTAGATGAAATCCTATTAAAGCCCTGCTTTTATACATAGGGATAGGAGCTGGACCTGGGATTTCGTTGGTATAAGGAAGTACCAATGCAGGTTCTTACTTTACCTTCTTTGAAACTTGTAGTCTAAAATGGAAATATGTTTTACATGATTGCACATATGTAACCTGTATCAAATTGCTTACCATCTTAGGAGGGGGAAGGAGGGAGAAAATTTGGAGCTCAAAATTTTATTTTAAAAAATGAATGTTAAAAGTTGTCTTTACTTGTAATTGGAGAAAAATAAAACATGATCTGAAAGCGAAAGAAAGAAAGAAAGAAAAAGAAATTTGTAGTCTTGGAGAATTACCTGGAGCACTATAGGGCAAGTGACTTATTAAGTATCACCTACCCAGCATGTGTCAGAGGTGAGAGTTGAACCCAGGTCTTCCTGGCTCAGAGCCAGCCTTCTGCTTCTGCCTCATTTGTAGATAAAGAACACAAAGTACAACTAATATTTGCTGAATTCAGTAGCTTAGGTACCATTTTTTTTTAAAAAAAATTCGGTCAACATTTATTAAGTGCCTACTATGTGTCAGACATTGTGCTGAGTGCTGGTACAGTACAGGTGTTCAAAGCCCATCCAGTACAGGACCCTGTATCCCATGCTGAGAAATGGAAAAAGGCATGAGAGTTGGATTTTGCCTTATAGTACCTTATAGACAGAAGGAACTTTTCATTCAGTCCTTTCCTCACAGCATGAAGGCCCCAGGAATTAGGCACCATTTTAAAGAGCTATCATAACCACCATATACAGTTCTGGGTAAGGTCGTGGAAAGTGTACATATTTGGTACCAGTCAACCAACTGTAGACCAGAAACATGAGTACGCACCAGCTCTGTGCCCAAACTTGTACTTTGCACTCATAGCCAAGAGCAATGTGGCACAGACGCCAAAGGGTGAGACCCAGAAGATCCGGCCCAATGACGATCAGCAGGTGACTAATTCACTCAGTGCTCTAGGAATGTCTTTAAGCTGTGGATGTTTTGGCAGTTTGCATCAGCAAAGTAAAGTGTCCTTCCAAAAGTTCCCGTCAAAGATGGAATGACTGGTCTGGACAAGTCCAAGTTTCCTGCGTGCCATGAACAAAAGACGTATACCAATTTTAAAGGTACAACTAAGGGCTCAGGTTTGGGATATTCGACCTATAATTCCATATTCAATTAGAAAGGAAAATTATTTAATGAAAAAGCCATTTTAAAATGCTTTCTCTGTGCCAGGAATTGGAGATACAAGTACTAAAACAAAGAGAGTCCCTGCCCTTAATTAACTTACTTTCTAAGGGAAGGGGGTGGCAGAGACAGTGCATATAGTGAGGGTCAGAGAGGAACGGATCTGGAAAGTTATAGGGGTGGTAAGTGGAGCCAAAGGGCAGTAGATTGACATACCCTTTCCAGCAGCAATGACACTATTGATTTGATTATGATTCTTAAACTAGAAGCGCAACTAGGTAGCACAGCGTAGAGAGTGCTGGCCCTGGAGTCAGGAAGACCTGAGTTCAAATTCAGCCTCTGATACTTGAACAAGTCACTTAATCTCTGTTTGCCTCAGTTTCCTCATTTGTAAAATGGGGATAATAATAGCACCTATCTCCCAGACTTGCTGTGAGGATCAAATGAGATATTTGTAAAGTTTTATTATGTGGGAGTAAGGGGAGCCGTAAAGGATTTTAGAGAGGCAGCAAGGGTGCTGGTGAGAAGGCGCCAGTAACATGAAGCACAACCAGAGCCGGTGACCAGTCAGGACAATGAGGCCCGGTGGCAAGAGTTCTCTGAGGTGGAAGGGCGAAGTCCTTCAGGGCTCCGTTATTTGCAATTTATCAGCACATCCTCTGTTTTGGGAAATGAGAGCGTTTAATCCCTGCATGCTCTTAACAGGAGCCAGAGCTGGCCTCAGAACCAGGAAGAACTGGGTTCTAGTGCAGCCTCTGCCACGTCCTGACTGTGAGCCCCTGGGTGATTCACTTAACTTCCTGGTGTGCTGGACTATGCTCTAAGACTATAACTTGCAGATGATGTGCCATTCTTTTTTTTTATTTTATTTTTAATTTATGGAATAAAACAAGCATTTCCATAACATAGCACGATAAAAAAGATGATTTCATGTGGAACTGCAAATCTACTCTGCACCACTTGCTATTTCTTTCAAATATATAACAAAATTATCATGCAAATGTCTTTTTTTTCTCCCCCACCGCTGGTCAGCCCCCAGATGATGTGCCATTCTGCATTGGTAGAGGCAGTCCCCTCAGCAAGAAGTCCCTCCCATCTTTAAACGCTCCTCTCCCCAAAAAATACTACAATAGAGCACTGTAAACTCTATAAAAGCAGGGCACTGATATTTTTAAGTTAGATCAGGGTTCTAATGTCTTCGGAATGCTTCTTTTCAGTTGTTTGTGACGGACATTTAGAGTTACTATAGCTCTTTGTAAAATATAGTAACAAAACTATTTAATGAAGAATTCATTTCTAGGGCAGGCGACCTGTTTACACTCCAGTATTGAATCCAGACTATTTAGTGTTGTGTAAGAGAAATATAAAGTGGGTCTGTGTAACTGTATGCTACTGAAATTTCAATCTCATTCTTCCATGTTGTTTCCTTTCAGGTCCAGGAAACACTAGGCCTGCCTCCAAAGGTGATTCCTTTCCTACAACACATTCCACTTTCAATGTTTCTATCCATGCAGCAATTCGATATGGAAACTGGAAACTACTGACTGGCTACCCAGGTAGTAAAATTATCATAAATTTGCAGCTTTAATATGCAAAAGGAGGACAGAGAGACTATCTGGTACATTACTTGCATTTAATAGTGGGGCCTTACTCCCCTACTCTCAATCCCTTATCTTACCCCCTTCTCTTTCCCACTTCCCTTTGCTTTCTTCCTCTCTATCCCCCAATTCTGCCCCTTTCCCGCCCCTACCCAGACACCTGGAAGGCTAAAAATGGTCTTTAAAATTTTTTATAATCTTTCATGCTGTGTGGCAGAAGCAAAGTACTATTTCTTCAAGGTTTTCCCATCCCTCTTTTGCTAGGCAACCTGTTCCCAATTACAGTACATTCACTATTTCCCAAGTTTTTCTGAAGGTTTATGTTTAAGATAATCAAGCAAACATCTGCACATTAAACCAATGACCCTTATAAGGCATGTTTTTTGAGCTGCTAAGTGAGAAAAGTGGGTTTAATCTGCTGCTTTTTACTAAAACCATTGGAGATTGACTCAAAAAAAGGGAAAAGGAAGAACTTTCCCCCTAAAGTTTTTGGAAGGCAGATATTTTAAATGCTTGCAACCATTCAACAACATTTAACAAGCATTTATTAAGTGAATACTATGGGCAGGGATAGGATGCAGCTCAAATGGCAGCAGATGGAAGATTGTTAAATTTTCTGTCAGAGTATTTATACCTCGGGAATTGGCAATTGCTACAAATCAGGTCTTGATTGATCGTTTTTATGGTTGTCTGCTCTTAAGTAAGTGTTAATAATGCAGACTAAACTTAAAAGTATATTAAACGTGTATATTTATTATGTATTTTTTCCCCAGGAGACAGTTTTTAAACATTTACCAGTACACTCCTGACTATGTCAGGCACCATGCTAGTTTCCAAGGATGCAAAGGGAAAAAAAAGTAACAGTCCTTGTCCTGAAAGGAATTTCTATTCCATTAGAGATGACTTGAACACAGAAAAACAAAACAAATTTTATATATTATATGTAATTTCCAAGGGGGGGGTTGGTTCTAGCTCCTGGGGAGGCTTAGGTTTCCTTTAGCAGGTGGCCCAGGATCTGAGCTTGGAAGGAAGCCAGGGATTCTCCAACACAGAGATGAGAAGGGAGGGCTTTAGAAGCACGTAGGGCAGTTGTGCAAAGACATGGAGATGAGAAGTGGAATGTCATACGTGAAGATTGGCAAGAAGGCTAGTATGGCAGAAGTATAGAGTGGGTGGAGAGGAGTAGGAAATGAGCCTAGAAAGGTCAGTTGGAGCCAGATGATGGAGAGTTTTAATTAAAAAAAGAAGCTTGTGTTTTATACTGTAGCCTGGATCTCCAAAGTGGAGGACCATGTCCTGTCCACAAGAGATATGTGATCAGCTAGTCAGAAAGTGGGATGTTGGGTCACACTTCTTCCCTCCTTGGGATAGCTAATCATGAGGCTTTTCTACTTTTCGTTTTTTTTTTCTTGTTTGTTTGCTTGTTTTTTTGCTTTTTGGTGAGGCAATCGGGGTTAAGTGACTTGCCCAGGGTCACACAGCTAGTAAGTGTTAAGTGTCTGAGGCTGGATTTGAACTTAGGTCCTCCTGATTCCAAGGCCAGAGCTCTATCCACTGAACCACCTAGCTGCCCCATGAGGCTTTTCTGTCCCCCTGCTGCCCCTGTGCAGGCTCCCAATTTCCACCTTAACCTGATATCACTGCCAGGTACCACTGGAAAAATTTCCACCTCTCTGCACATCCTCTTCTGTCTCTCAGATCACCTGTGACCATAGCAGGAGTACCTGAGATGGTGGGTTCTGTGCTCTGTGGGTTCTCAGTTAGGTGGCATTGGTCCTGAAATCATTAAGAGTTGAGCTCAAATGAAGCTTCAGACACTTACTAGCTGTGTGACCCTGGGCTTAACCGCTTTCTGCCTCAGTTTCCTCATCTATGAAATAGGTATAATAATAGCACCTATCTCCCAGGTTTATTGCAAGGATCAAATAAGATAATATTTGTAATGTGCTGAGCACAGTCTTTGCACATAGTAGGCACTTAATAAATGTTTCTTTCTTTCCTTCCTTCCTTCTTCTGGAGCAGTGACCAGGTATAGGGGTCTCTACCTTCCCCCTTTTCATTTTGAGTGGGACAGGATGAGCAGGTATGGGTGGGTTGTCAGTTGCCTCGTACATCTTATTACATTTTCCTCCTCCACTCCCCAAAAAAACCCACTTACTTCCATCTGTCTTCTAAACTTCCCCATTTCTGTTGAGGACACCACCGTTTTCCTAGGCATCCAGGTTCACAACCTAGGGGTCATCTTCAATTCCTCAGTCTCCTTCACTCCACATATCCAATCTGTTACCAGATCTTCCTGTTTCTACCTCTATACTATTTCTTTCATCTCCCTTCTTCTCTCTATTGGTTCAGAATATGATCACTTCTGTCCTGGACTGTGGCAATAGCCTCCTCCTAGCTGACCTCCCTGCTTCAAGCCTCTTGCTCACCTCCCCATCCCATCCTCCACACAGCTCCCAAAGGCATTTTCCCAAAGTTTAGGTTTCTCAGTGTCATCCCCACTCCTTCCCCTTGACTATAGGATAAAATATATTTCATCTTTATCTCATCCTTTTTAAATTTCTATTTTAAGTTTTATAGTGTGTATTATCTCTCACTAATACATGTATATAATTTGTAAGAAAGTAAATACACATTCAAACATTGATTACTAGTAGAGATGTGAGATCAGAATTTTGGAAGCGGTTGTCCGAGAGGCCACACAGAGCCACAGAAGTTTCAGGATAGAAGGAAGACTAAAAGAGGAGGCTGACCAAGGAAGCAAGGGTATTTGAGGGGGCATCCACATGTCAGTGACGTCCTCCAGTTCAAAGGTGGGGTTTGGGATGGAGAGAATGTCTTTGAGGATTCCTTAAGAAAGAAGGAGGCATAACCCAAGAGCTGATGTAGCAGATCCAGAAGGGAGCTTAGACTCGATCAGAGTGAACCCCAAAGGAGAAGTAGGGGCGTTGTGGAAGCAGCACTGAATAGCAGGAAGCCGACCTGCTTCTACTCCTGGCCAGGTATGTCGGGTGCCTGAGTCCAGGTACATCCAAGAGTGGAGTGTGGCCAGGGATGCAGGGCCTCTTGGGAAGAGCCAACCATGCTTGTTTTCAAGCCCTATCTAGCTGTATACTGGGCCTCCTCTTTTTTTGGTGGAGGGGTAAGTGGCCCAGGGTCACACAGCTAGTAAATGTCTGAGGTCAGATTTGAACTCAGGTACTTTGCACTCCAGGGCTGGTGCTCTATCCGCTGGGCCACCTAGCTGCCTCCAGGCCTCCTTTTACTGTTTCATATTTTTCTAACAGGCTGTGGTCACTGGTTTCCACCACCATCTTTATACAGAATCAGAAAGCAACCGTCACGTGACCCACCAAGCAAAAACCTCTGGCTTTTTGATATCCAACGAGACCCTGAAGAAAGATATGACCTAGCCAGCAAACACCCCGGTATCGTTAAGAAGCTTCTGGCCCGGCTCCAATATTACCATAAGACCTCTGTACCGGTGTTCTACCCCGATCAGGATCCCCGCTGCGATCCCAAAGCAACTGGAGTTTGGGGACCGTGGATGTAGGATGTTAATTGGCCCTCAGACCAGAAGACTGCCCCTCAGGTAGAGGTTGCACCTCAGGCATCCGGTCTTATGACTTTCACCCCATTAGTCCTGCCCCAATCCAGAGAGCTTCATTGACCCTTCTCAGTCCTAAACCAGAGCAGGCCCCCTGATTTCAACCTCACGGACACCTAAGAAGCCGATGACATTCAGGAACATAAACACTTGCTATTCTTTGACTGGGGGAGATTTTAAAAGCAGGGGTACCTTGGTTCATCCCCTCTTTCTTGAGAAACTTTATTTCAGATCAGAAGCTCTAATTGAGTCCCTCAGTCAGGGAGCAGCCTGCTGAGTTCACCTGCAGGTCAGATGCTAGATTTCACTTTTGCCAAAAGCCAGGTTTTATTGGAGAGTGACTCACATTTCATGCAATAAATGAAAGGAGCAGTTAACATTGACAAAAGTTTTCCATCTCTCTCTGTTTCTCTCTTTCCCTTTCCCTTTCCCTCCCCTCATTTTTCTCTCTTGCCTTTTCCTCCCCTCTACCCTAATTCTCCACACTTTCTTCCACTTTTTCCCTTTCTTCCCCTCCCTCCTCTTTTCCTTTTTCCCTCCTACTCTTCTTATTGTGTCCAGCAATTTCCACCAAAATTCTTCTCTTTATCCTCCTCTCCTCCTCCACCACACAGCTTAAGAGCTCTCTATGACTATTAGTCATGATAATCCAATGCGACATTTCACCATGAGCTAGTAGTAGATCATGGCCCACTCTTTTTGTTCCTTTTGGTCAGGTGATTTTCCCAAGCCTTGCCCATTCTTCTAGGATTTCTTGCTACTCCATATGGGTCCTTCTTCCTACCTATACCTTCCTCATCTGTAAAATGAGAGGGTTGGACCAGATGGTATCTAAAGCTTTGAATCTATAATCATATGCATCTGCCCATTAACAGTGTGGTGGGAGTTCTCCTTTTGGGCATACTGTCACTCTGGAGCCCTAAGCAGCGGAGAGATTTTTGAACAGTGCCAGTCACTGCATCCCTTTTCCCTGGATTAACCACAGTTCCATGGCATGAACCATGGCAGTATTATTCCATGGCAGTATTATTGAATTTTACTGAAGCTACCACCTGTGCTCCCAGACAGCGGCCAAGCTTGGCTCTGGATTGTTTACCAAGCTCCTTTTTCTTGTCAGAGACAAAAGGGGTTTGTTTCCTGTTTGTTTTAAACAATGATGACAACTCCAACTATGTCATTGACTTGATAAGCTTTCCCAAGTTGAGTCCACATGGATACAAACTAGATTATAGCACCCATTATTCTTGGACCTCACAGTCTAGTGAGGGTGGCCATGCTAGCCCTCAGGATTTGGGAGCAGTGCCAGGGGCACATGGGAGCTGGGAGCTGGGGTTGTGGAGATGGCCAATCTGAGAAAGCACTGGTCAATGTTGATGGCTCAAGGCTTCGATAAAACAAAGGAATGGTGGATCTGCACACTTCTTTCCACTCTCATCCTTGTAACCAGAGTCCAGGAGAGAGGAAAGGAAGCATCATAGCATATATGACAGTCCTTAAACATTTAACTACTTTTCTGCTGCCCTGGGTCAATGTGGCTGAGCTTTCAGGGCCCAGAAACATCTGTGGAAAACATTTCTAACTTTTTCTCAGCATTGCTTAACCAGAGATGATGCCAGGTCAACAGCCTAAACTCAGAATCAGAAACTTGATGAAAATGACATGCGTGCCCAGAAGATACTTTTCCAGAGTTTAAATTGTGACTTAACTACCTATAAGTATTCCATCACTCTGTAGCAAGGTTATGCCCCTTCTAGAAATTAAAAAGTAGGGAGGAGAAAATAGGGAGAAGACCTCAATGTCTTCATGCTTGCCAAACACTTATTACTACCCCCTTTTCCTCTGTTACTACTAACAGGGAGGTAAGAGATTTGTACTGGGGGACAAAAAGGCAACAGCTGCTACCGGGAGCTGTGAGGAGGGCGCTAGCCTGTCTCCCACCCTGAGGCTGCCTCCAGCCCAGGCTTCTGAACTGGTGTCAGGCTGGCCTGTTATACCATGACGGCTGAGCTCTGTGTTTTATGAGGAGAATTGATGAGAGCTCTTTGTGGTAGTGTAGCTCTAGGGATTCTGGGTATCTGAGTGTTTGTGTGTCCAGGGGGAATGTCTGATGTGTTGGGCTGTTCTGTAAGTGCCTTTAGGTCTCAGGCACAGAGTACACCAGAAGGCTGCTGGGCAACAGTAATGCTGTGTTATGAGGTCAGTAACAGAGGCCTTCTTGACAACATTTTCTGAGTTCTTCCCACTTCTCTCAGTACCTGTGTCAGAGGCCTTGCAATCCTGACACCTTTGTCCACCAAGAAAAAAAAATGCCAGCTATCAGACTTTCCCCACTTTGTCCATTTCTGCAGAAGAGAATAAAAACTGAAATCATAAAAATGATTTCATGTAGATCACTAGATCGCTATCTTTGTGTTCAAGGCACTTTCTGGTTCTGCCAATGCTTATTTTGTCAAAATTCCCTGGAAGGAAAAGGGTTTATAGCCCATTACCATCCTTCACCCCAGGTTGTGGGTTTCTCTAATCCTAGTTTCTTTCTCTCTTTCTTCCTTTCTTTCTTCCTTCCTTTCTTCCTTTCTTTCTTTCTTTCTTTCTTTCTTTCTTTCTTTCTTTCGCTTTTTGGTGAGGCAATTGGGATTAAGTGACTTGCCCAGGATCTCACAGCAATTAAGTGTTAAGTATCTGAGGTCAGATTTGAACTCAGGTCCTCTTGACTCCAAGGCTGGAACTCTATTCACTTTGCCACCTAGCTGCCCCTCCTAGTTTCTTTATTTCTATTCAGAGTTCTAGCATATCATACACACAATGTGGTTGTAATAGATATTTAGGAGGAAATGCAGTTTATTTGGCAGATGGTAAGTTCATGGAAATAAACTGGGTTATAGTATTTGGGTTGAGGCCAAGAAAGCCTGTTGATGTTGCCGAATGGCCTTTAGTCTCTCTAGGTGGAAGTTTACAAATTTCCTTGATAAATCTTAGTAGAGATGTCTCCCCAGGGGAGCTTATATTAAAAAACCTCATTTCTGATCCCATGGGACTCTATCCTTTATTAATCATGTGACCACTTAAATCTAAGTAAATTTATTTAAATTTAAGTAAATCACTTAAACTCTCACTATTTTTCATCTGTAATCTAGAATAATGACCCAACTTGCCTACCTCAAATCCAGTCAAACAGCCAGTGTATTTATTAAGCACCTACTATGTGCCAAGAACTGTTCTAGGAGCTGAGAATAAAAATAAAAAAGAATGAAACCGTTTCTACCCTCAAGGAGCTTACATTCCATTGGGGTGACCACATACATATACATATACACGCACAAATATATGTAACATGCATGTAGATACAAAATAAATGACATAATGTGTGTGAATGTGCTTTATATGCTGTATAAAGTACTCTACAAATGCAAAGCATCATGAATTGGGTCTTAGATCTTTAGCCATAATGAATATCTACATAATCTTAAGATGCACAAGAATTGTGAATGAGTATGAAAGTATTGAGTACAAATACTAATGTTGTTTTCATGTGAAATTGTTCGCTTTTGAAGAATATGATTTGTTGGAGTGTTTTATTTGGCAACTATATGGATTTACCTAGTTTGAGAGCAAAATAAAGTGAATCATCTTTTTAAATATAAAATTCTGTGTGGGGCTATTTATCTATCTCTATCTCTCTGTCTAAATCTAGATACAGATATAGATGTGGCTCATGGATAGATAGCATGAATGTGTCAGATTTTAGGTCTAGGGAAAGTAGGAAGAAGACTGTTTCTGAACCACCATCATGCTAGCTAGCAATGAGTAGACTAGAATTAAATCTATCTGCTATCTTCAAATATTTCTAAGGGCATGTAAGTCTAAGGGTGCAATATTGGGGTCCAGAACAAAAACCAATTCCTTGATCACTCTCAATGTGAGGAGAGGGTTGCACTTAACTTACACTTATCAACTTAGTCCTTTCTCATCAAATGCTAATTACACAGAAGAACACAAATAGATAAAACCATTTATAATTGGATAAATTGGAAGAAGTTCTACAGAAATTGGAGAAGTTCTACAGGTTGGGTTATACCAAAGAACATATGAGAGTAAATGAGCTCTTAGCTAGTTGTTAGATAAATCTGAGCTCAAACCAGAAGAGAGTGAGAGTGATCTCCCCCATGGGAAGCCCTCTCTCAACAGTCTGTAGAATTGCAAGCTCTAGAGAGAAAGGAATGTGAGGCGACTGGCTCCTACACATGTCCATATCTCCAAGGGCTCAGGCCTGCCATTCAAAATCTCTCTTCTAACTCCCTGGAACTTTTCTTTGTACACGTATCTCCTGTGTCTCTGAAAGTATCTATGGCAAAATAAAGTACATTCCTTCCATGGATGGATAACATTGCACTAGGTGTTGTCAGCCAACAGTAGTTATGTCTTTATCCACATATGCAGCATGAAGCACTGAGCTGTCTCTTCACAAAATTACCTCAGGCTTGGGCAGACACAGCATTACATAAAATTTTGTGACACTGACCTGACCTGGAAATATGACGTGTAAAACTAAGATTGTAAATACTGGGGCGGGGGGAAGAAAAAAAAGAAAAAAGAAAGGGAAAAGGTGAGGTTGAAAGCAAATAACGATGTGGCCTACCTGTCTAAGGAATGTGCTTTATTTTGTGGCAGAGACTTCAAAAGGCATGGGAGGAAAAAATATATATATACATATATATTTGGTGTAAAGAAATATTTATTAACAATTAGAGCTATCTGTAACTGGAATAAGTTGACTCAGGAGTCCTATCATTGAAAGTCTTTCAGAAAAAACTGAATGATCACATTCTGGGAATTTTATGGTGTTATGTAGTAGATGGAGCACTGGGCTAAGAGTCAGGAGACCTGAGTTCAATTTTCTTTTCAGATACTTACTAACTGAGTGACCATGGGCAATTTAATTTCAGGCAACCTCAGTGTCCATTAAAATGGGAATAATTATATGTGCA